CAAAACTCCAAATTGCAAGTCTTTACTCCTTTTAACAATCCTTGATCTGATAAAATCTTTAAGAATTTTCCTCCAGCGTGTCCCAAGCGCATGTGCCATAGCTTGGTTGCTTCTGCCTCCTTGTCATAACTGGATGTCACTGTTGTTGTCCCAATAACTGTACTACCACGGATAGTGATACATGTTATTATTTCGCCGGATTCTCTTCATTACCACTAGTGCACCAGAGCATATTCTCATTACCCCATTTTCTGCAACGACTTTGAGCCCCTTTGACTCTAGGGCTCCTACAGAAATAAGATTTTTCTTCAATTCCGGTACGTATCGAACATCTGTTAATATTCTGATCAATCCATCATGGTTCCTTAATCGGATTGAACCAATACCATATGCGGTAAGAGGATTGTTATTTGCTGTGTGAATAACTCCACATTCTCCTTCTTGAAAATCAACGAACCAGTCCTTGTTGGGACACATATGATAGCTACAAGCTGAATCCATCAGCCATNAAATCAAAGTCGTCACAATCAGCTACATTTGAATCCATGACAGCCTTTCCATTGTTAGGTTTGGCCTTGTTTTTCAACTTTGGACAGTCTTTCTTCCAATGCCCATTTTCTCGGCAAAAGGCACATTCNTGGGTCTGGATCTTGACTTGGATCTTCCTTTCTTCGTTCTCATATGATTTTGAGAACGACCTCTCACGACCAGTGCTTCTCCTTCTCCACTCTTTTGTTTTTCTCTCTTTCTTTGTTCATAGCTATACAAGACAGAACAAACTTCTTTGAGAGACACTTCATCATTCCCATGAAGTAGAATAGTTTCGAGGTGCTCGTACTCATCGGGAAGTGAACTTAATAACATTAAGGCCATATCTCCATCACTAAAAGTCACGTCCATATTCTGCAAATCTGTCGCCAACTTATTAAAGCTGGTGATATAATCATTCATTGTAGTACCAGAAACATATGTGAAGTGTAACAGTCTTTTTTTCATGTATAGTTTATTTTGACTGTTTTTCTTCAAGAATTTATCCTCCAACGCATTTCACAATTTACTTGCATAAGTTTCTTTTGTGTATGGATACTTCTGTTCTCTTGCGAGATAAGATCGAATGGTACCACAAGCAACGCGGTTGATAATCTTTCAATCTCCTTCTCTGATATTGTCTGGTTTATTTTTTTCTATGGTAATATCTAGCCCTTGTTGAAAAAGGACATCAAGAACCTCAGCTTGCCACATCCCGAAATGTCCTGACCCGTCAAAAATTTTAACTGCAAATTTCGCATTTGACATAATTCTTGTCATAAGCGAAGATGCCAACGACGTATTACTGACACCCGATGTGGACTCTTCATTTTTATTATCTCTCATTTTTTTATAGATACTATTTATTTGCTGACAGTACAGAACACCAAAGTAATTCTTTTTTGATGTGGAAGTTCAGACTATGCTGCAACCACAGAGCATACTAAGATAGAACCTTGGCTCTGATACCAATTGTTGCGGAAGCCGAATATATAGAGAGTGATTAAATCACAACTACTATATCTAAAGGTAGCTAATAAATAGTAAATGAGACAATAATAAAATGAACACCAGAAATTAACGAGGTTCGGTAAAATTTGATTTTTGCCTAGTCCTCGGACACAATCAACTCAAATTTATTTCATTCCAAAAATACAAATGAATAATACTACAAGAGAGAAAGAAGATTCAAATGCCTTAGGAGATAAGAAGGCAAGTGAGAGATGTTTACAAATGAACAAAACTCTTGCTATTTATAGAAGAGAAATGATCTTAATAATGTTATGCATGACATCATATTAAGTGTGAACATGCAATGTAAATACATGAAAAATGCATCTACCAATTTCTTCCTAAAAGGAGGCTTCAAATGTTCACACTAGTTCACATTAATCTTGTCAAAATTCAACATTACCTAAGTGTCGGTAGGCTATTTTTAACGTTAGATAATTAACTGCATGCATGTTGTTGTTTACCCCTTAGCCAAAAGGCATTTTGCTACAAGAAATTTAGTACACAAGACGAGCAGCCTGTGTTTGTAATAATATATGCAATTAATAGGACCACTAGGTCCACTATATATATATATACACGTTTTTGGTACATTTGTCTAGTTTATAAGTGAGATGAAACAAAAACAAAAGTATATATGGAATATTGGAATGGACCACTATAATGTTCTAGCTAAATTAGTATATGTGGTCTTGTACTCAAGGAAGCTTGACGCAACGATAAGATTATTTTTGTGATCAAGAAATTACGGGTTTTTAAGTTGCAAAAATCTCTCGTAAAATTGTGTAAATAAGAGCCAATGTGCTGTAGCTTTTTCCCGATCTAACTCTTTATTCTAAGATAAGATAGTTTTATTGAGTTTTATTAAGGTTATACAATTAAGTCACTAATTATAAATAATTACAAGTATGTTTCTATGCTAAGCATTGAACAGTAACCTGGAAAATATAACTTTAATTCATTCTTGATCATATTCCCGTCCACTATAAAAATCAACCAGCTATTTCTTATTCTTAACGAAGAAATCATGTCTAAGTTATGAAATATATGTCAAAAATAACTCACGTTTTTATATCACCTATTATGGTTCGTGAATCCTTATAGTTAGGCTACAAGTTAGAATTTAAAATTTATGTGTTCTAAATTCTAAGGTAGTGATATAAAGTGTAAGTGTTAGTAAATTGGTTCTGAATTTCATTTTTGTACATATTTTATGTGAATTTCTTAATACATATAGAGTTTGCACAAAAATTACTGGGTTCGGCCGAACCCGTACTTCGACTTCTAGCTCCGTCCATGAGAAAAATCATTACTATTTTTTCAAAAATATAATATGATACATGCAGACCTCTCTATATATAACATCGCTATATAACAATCATTCACTATAAAAGTCAAGTTTTTATGGAACCGATTTTTATGCTATGTTATAATATATGTTCTTTATAATAACATTTCATAATAACAACCAAAAATATCTTAAACAAATAAAGTTGTTATAAAGATGTTTGACTGTAGTAATTATTTTGGGTAAAATAAATAAAGCATAAATGAAGGCGGAATTTTTTGCAAACCTTGTTGGTGAAAAAAATCCTTTTCTCAGGATTATCAAATTTGGAGTGAACCCAAGAATTGCAAGTAATATGAACTATGCCATGGGGAAATCCATCAATTACTATATTCTTGACATACATTTCCTTGTGATGCTCATTTTCTACTAAAATTGCTCCAACCTCCCCAAAGTCTTCAGGAATAACAAAATCAGCCTCATAATGTGTGTCACCATCCACATCTCGTCCACGACGTGCAAACGTCTTAATGCTTGGTTTCTTTATTCCAGTCTCTTTTAAAGATAATAGAGAACAAAATAATTATTAATATTCAAAGAAAAACAATTAACAAAAAGAATAGCAATTAAATACAAGTTGCAAGACGAGTAAACCAATTCAATGAAGTATTACCAAAAAATCTTATTAGCTATGGGCTATTTAGCAACAGATTAACGACGAATTTTGTACCTAATTTTTGCAGTGAAAAAATGAGGAAGAACTTGAACAATTATGAAGCAAGAAATCAGCATAAAAGAAATATTGAATGACTTTTGCATGATTGTGCTTCTTTATTTCTTTTATAAGATAAGGCGGTAAACAAACTTTTAGGTATAAGCTCGTCAAAAATTTAAAAAAAAAAAAAGACAAAAATTTAGCAATAATAATTTTCAGTCGAGGATACTAAAGATATATAACGCCTTAAATTGGTTGTGTAAAAGTTTTCACTAGTAGTTTAAATCACTTATTTGTCAAAGTTATTGAGTTAATTATTTAAATTGTTTTCAATTTTGAAAAAATGATCAAAGTACAGTTTCACTACAAGAAATTAGGGCTACGGTCACATTTATTTGGTGACATTTAAAATAAATGTCAGAAATTAATTACTTTTGTGACGTTTATTAAAAACAGTTGCTAACATATTGACATTTGATAACAAATGTGAGAAAATTATGACATTTTGATTTAAATGTTGCAATATTAATAAGCAATTACCGACAATTACAATTAAAGAAGGAAACTTTAACCTAATGTCTTTCTTTTAAATACGTGAAATGAAACAAATTAGACCCACAACGGCGGCTACGGTGATATAATTCTTCTAGGTCTCCTTCACTCTGCTCCCAGAGTTCTTGCTGGCCTTTGGAATCCTCTGCTAATGGTGCCTTATCAGTCGATTGCTTCTTTTCTGCTTTTGATACCGTCGTAGACAGGAAGGATTGAGAAAGCAAAGTTGCGACTTGGGAGGAGATCGGCTACAGACGATATATTATTTAAAATTAAGATGAGATTTCCTTCTGAAGTTCGATGTCTCCACTGATTCGAATATGAAGTCCCTCGATCTCTCTTTCTCTGCTAATTATTATTCATACATTTTTGTTCATTGATAATCATACAATTAAGTTTAGTTATTTTAAGGTTTTTATAGTGTGTAGCTTTGATGATATTATTTGCTTGCAAAATTGGTGCTTTATTGAAATATTTGCTGCTTTTATGCAGCGCTTTCATATGTTCGTATGATATCTAGTTTGGAGTGCTTAAGGGGAAGGTAAAGATTGTTTTTTTTTTTGGGTTATCTAAGCAAATTTTATTTTGTTTTTGATAAAGCATTAATTAATTTTGTTTGATTTTCCATCTTGCTTTAGAGTAAGGAATTTATTGTCTAACTCTAATTAGTGTAATGAATGTTATCAGGTTTTTCATCTAAAGATACTCAAATGGTTGATTGTTGGCTCATACGTCTATTCCAATGTAAAGATTAATCATTGGCGTCAATTTCTTGGTAGGAGGAATGTGAAAATGAGATAATTCTTTTTTCAATTCTAACACTGATTTCAAATAGGATACAAATATTCAGTGATCTTAATTGGCATTTGGCAAGCTGATTAACAAAGAGTTTTGCTTGATAGTGGAGTTTGGACGAAACTGGCTATGCATGTATCTTTAGTTTTGCCTCTATTTGGTCTTGTTCTAAAAAGCTATATTTTTAAGTTTTCTTTTGTATTTTTTGTTTACTTATATATGATATATCAAGTATGCCTCACTCAAATGAGCTCTGTTTCTCGCAGGGTTACATTTAGATGTATTCTTGGTATGGAGCTCAATTTAGGTGTATGCTAGTTTTGGAGCTCCGTGTTTATTCCTTGTACAGTAAACTTCTGCTAGGTGAATAAAATGTGCTCCTTAACGGTGGTTGCTAAAGTTAGGATTGTTGATTCCAATATCACCAAATTCAATACTCCACCAAACTTTTACCAGAGTTGTTTAACATTTAAATTGTTGTGTATCTCTGTCAAATTCATGATAATATTGTCCTTGATTTCTGTTAAGGTATGTAATTGATTGTTGCAGTCTTTGTAAGTTAGTTTTATTTGTTATATTTTTTGGATTAGGAGATACTTTACTTAGAAAGATAAGTATTGGACTATAATAACATACAACTACTTAAGCGATAGCTGCTATCTTTGATTAAATCCTACTGCATAGTTTATAGAGTTACCCAATATCCTTTCTGTTCTCTTCTAGGGGATTTATTACTTAAAGTTGGAATTCTGCAATAATTAGTGGTATTAGCCATCATTTTGATCATCACCTCAGATAATCCTTTTCTTGCAATTCAGGATATTAACAAATGAGTAGGCACTCAAGCGACTTGGAGAGGAAGCTCCTAAAAGAAAGTAGCAGAAGGAGTGGAAAAAAGAGCTGAAGAAGTGAAGATATCTCTTGTCTCGATATTAGTTTGAATCCAGCAATGTTTAATTGTAAAGGTTTATAGCTATTCACAATTTTATTCTTGTATAGGGATCTTATGTTTGCAAATATTTTTTTTGTTTAAATTCTCTATGGTGAATGACATTTGTAGGTACAATTTGAACTTTGATGGTTATACTTTCCTGTTAATGGAATAAAATTTTTGTTTCTACATTATAGGATGTGTTGCATAAACATCAATGAGTATTTCAATTTTGACATTAAAGGATGTGCTACAGAAGTGTCACTAGTCACTCAAATTTCGCAGACACTTTTAAATGTCATAAACTAAATAAGCTACAAACTATTTATTTACCGACAATATATTAAATGTCAGAAAATTTAATGTGACATTTCAAAAAGAGTCATGAAATAAATGTTGTAAATTATTTACCGACATTAATATAAATGTCGGAAATTTCCCAGACATTGAAATTTACGACATTTGACCTAAGTGTAAAATAAATGTCAGGTAAGTAATTTTATGACATTTATGACACTTAATACGACATTTATTAAATTTCATCGTAGCCCTTATTTCTTGTAGTGTTTGCTTCATTTTTGCACGTTACATTCGTACTTTGGTTTTGAACTGAGTGAATGTGATAGAAGAAGCAAACGAAATAGCATCCACAAATGGCTTATTAAATACTATTTACATGAAAAAAAGTACTACAATTATTTACTTAGTTGGAAAAAAAAGTACAATTATTTACTTCACTATTATAATAGGTTAGACAACATATGCTGATTTGAAATTTGATATGCAGAAGGGTATTTCTTTTATCACTCTATTCCATGTTGTATTGTCTCCTTTTTATTTTTTGTTTTTAAAATAGAATGATATTTTTTAATATTTGAAAATAACTTAACTTTGAACTTCTTATTTTATCCTTAATAATATTATTTTTTTAGTCATAAATCTCATAACATGCTTAAGACGAGAAGATCCATATTTTTTTCTTAATCTCTATACTCAATCAAATAAGTTCATGTAAAATAAAATAGGAGGAGTAAAATTGATTTCCGTTTCAAAAAAACTTTGTGAAAAATATATAGCCGTAGACTCGTATTTTTGATTGAATTTGGCAGTGGAAAAAGAACTTTCTTTTTAAAAAACAAACACCCTTAAACCACTTCCCAAGAAATCAACAAGCTTGTTACAAGATTTCAACAAATAAAAAAATTCATGCATCGGTAAATTACTTATTTCTTTCATATTTTCATTTTATATTCACCACAAATTAATATTAGTTCAAGTAATTGTATGTAGTGTCATTAATTAAGTCTTGGTTTGAAGTTAAACCTAATTTTACATCTGGCAATGCATAGCCCATACTGCCTAATGCATGTCCTTTTTTAAATTTGTGAAACTTATCATCTTTATTACTTTTAAATTCAAATCTTTATTTCTTTTCTTATATAGGAGGATGGGAGGAAATATGTACCGGTTAATTCCAACCATCCACTTTAGTGTCAACGGGCTCAAATATTGAATACTATATACTCCCTCCGTTCCAATTTATGTGAACCTGTTTGATTGGACACGGAGTTTAAGAAAAAATAAAACTTTTGAAATTTGTGGTCCTAAACAATTCAAAAAGGGGCCCAGAGTATTTGTGTGGTTATAAAAACTTCTCATTAAGGGTAGAATTGTAAGTTTAAGCAATTTTGTTTCCAAATTTAGAAATGGGTCATTTTTTTAGAACGGACCAAAAAGGAAATAAGTTCACATAAACTGGAACGGAGGTAGTATATAAATAGAGTTAATACCCTAAAATCTGCCAAAACTATATAAACTTTGTCAGTTGCCTATCTAAACTATCGCATGTCCCCGAAAACTCCTTGAACTATATCTCCTTTCATAATAAAACTCTCTCGCCGCATTCTTACTGGTGTGTATAATACACGCTCCAAATTATTTTTAAAATTTGCCATGTGGCATTCTACGTGGATATTTGTTTGGCTTAATCTAAAAAACATACTTAATTAGGATTTTAATGCTCTTTATTATATCATTGTAAAAATTACACGATAAAAAAAAGGGNGACTTTGCTCTCATAAGAGAATGGCTACACCTTCTCAGTAGCGATTTTCTCCATTAATCTTGGTTCTAACCTCAATTGCTTTGTCTATTCTAGCTTCTGTTAAAAAATGGGATAAAAACTAGGGGTCTGCTCCTGAATCGGTATAGAAGATTATAGTTTTGACAAGAGAGAGGGAGAGAATTTCAGATAGATTCAATGAAGAAATAGAGAAGAAAGGTGAAAATATGAGGAAGGAAGGTGAAATATAATGAAAAAAGGAGAAAATAAAAAGAAACACTGTCAGGTAGGCCATTTTAATGGTTTTTTGCCGCCTTCACGCGCTCTTTGGCAATTTATTATACACATTGTGCCACATAAGCGACGAAGGGGGTATTATTAAGAAGGGGTTATAGTTCAGGGGGTTTTTAAGGACAAGCGATAGTTTAGGTAGGCAATTGACAAAAGTTGTATAGTTTAGACGGTTTCAATATATTAACACTAAAAAAACACTTAACATATTTACAAGTATTAAGCTTTGAACTCATAATTGCAAAAATACAATAAATTCAGTAATGAGAACATAAAGGGTTGAACCCCATCAAAGTTAAATCCTAGATTCGCCTTAATCGGGGGACACTTTGATTAATTTAGTTCCAACGGGCAGGGTTCTATTGAACCGCAATATCTTTTAAGCAAAGCATAGATATACGTTTTCAAAAGTCCATGAGTTTAACGTTAAAAACTTTAAAGATTGAATTCATCGAGTTTAAACTCTGAATCTGTCCCTCGTTCAACCCTTATACCAGGAAAAAAAATGGAAAAAGAGAACACTTACTAGGATCAAGCTCAGCAGCAACAATCCCCAAAAGGAGTGTTTTACCAAGCAAATCACCAATATCATCAAGTCCCCTTGTTAAAGCTAAGTTAGTGCCTCCAACTGTTTTTTGGACAGTTACCACTGCTTTTGCACTAGTAGATTTCTCAGTAGAACTAAGCACAGCTTTTGTGCTATTTGCAGCATAATGAACCCTAAAATTCTTCTTCGGTTTTTGTCTAAGGTTTTTATTTAAAATATTGATGGGAAAAGAGGCTAAGATTTCTCCTGAAATGAATGGTTTAGTAGTATTCCATGGGATTAGGGTTTTTGTAGATTGTGATGTTTGATGAAGCTGAGGCTTCAACATTCTTTTATTTTCTTTTTCTCTTCTTTGGTTTTTTTGGGAAATAAGGTTCAGAGGATATATGATTTGCTTTGAATTATGCTAAGGGTTCTCTTTATATAGACATGTTTTGCTTAGCTTGGGGTAGTATAGGGTATTTTTCATTTTTTTGTGTGATGTCTTTGGCTTGCAGCTCTAGCTATTGCATGGAAACTAGGGTTACATATTTTTCCAGATGATAAACGTGTAGATATATGTAATGTCTAGTCCCTTTGGAAAATCCGATAAAATTTGAGACGGTACAGAGAAGATTATTATGATCTCTGTGCTGAATTATTTTTTATAAAAGTAACTTGTGTCTATAAATATCAAATTAATCGATTGCAAGGAGTAGTTATATATAGAAAATAAAAAAGTGGATAATCTAGCTTATAAGGAGAAGGACAAGGAAAATTTTACTCTACTACTGTAATGACCCGACTTGTCGTTTTAATAACTTACGTCCCGTACAACGACTTAAGGTCCCGAACAACTTCATAATACGTATTATGACTTGCGTGTGGTTGAGTTTGGTTTTCGGACGATTTGGGGTCAAATTAGGAGAACAATTCTTATTTAAGTAGCTTAAAAGAAAAAAGATGACCAGAGAGTCGACTTTTGAGAAACGACTCCGGAATTGAATTTTTATGATTCCAATAGCTCCGTATGATGATTTTGGACTTAGGAGTGTGTCCGCATGTTTATTTGGAAGTCTGTAGTTGATTTTGACTTGAAATGGCGAAAGTTGGAAATAGAAGGTTTGAAAGTTTGACCGGGAGTCAACTTTATTGATATCGGGGTTGGAAACCAGTTATGAAAATTTTGATAGGTCTGTAATGTTATTTATGACTTGTGTGCAAAATTTGAAGTCAACCGGACTTGATTTGCTATGTTTCGACATCGATTCTTCAAGAATACGTGGTATCACATTAAGAAAATGATCTCCAAATTCAGTTTTGATTAAAGCATTAAATCCGTATTGAAAATTCGGAGTCATAGCAAAATGAATCGTCGAATTCGGACATCGTATGAGAGAGTTATGCCCATTTCCGTGTCGGGAACGATTTTCTGTCGCTGTCAGCGCCCAGGGTAGCGTGAGGCGCTACCCCATGGCGCTGAGATGTTTAAAGGTTCTGGAAATAGCGCCCCACGCTACTTGTGGTGCCAGAATAGTAAAAAATCCATAAAACTGGGAGTTTTGCCATTTTTACTCATATTTTAGTTTGGGGAGGTCGGTTTAGGCGATATTTGGGCGATTTTCACTGGAAAATATTGGGGTAAGTGTTCCTTATCCTATATTGATTATATTTCATGATTCCATACTCATTTACATCATGAATCCGTGAATTTATGAAAGTAAAATCAGTTTTTTTATAAAATCTTCCAAAAATGTAAAATGAAGATTTGAAGGTCAATCCGATGTCGGAATTCGATAATTTTTATATGGTTGGACTCGTGGTTGAATGGACGTTCATTTTTGTAAATTTTGTCGGGTTCCGAGACATGGGCCCCACTGTTGAATTTTGAGTTAGTTTCGGATTTATATTGTGAAATTTAGCAAATTCATATGGAATTATTTCCTACAATTCGTGTTGAGTATATTGAATTATTTGTGACTAGATTTGAAGCTTTCGGACACTAATTCGCAAGGTAAAGGTTTTTTGGATTCTTGAAATTGGTTGCGAAACGAGGTAACTATCTTGCATAACCTTGAGTAGGGGAAGTACCCCTTAGGCATTGAGTCTTATGTGAAAATTGTGTGATTGAAAACTATGTACGCGAGATGATGAGTACGCACTTGGTTTATATGTGCAAATTATATCGGTTGAAATTCATATACGCCCTTATATATTAAATTGAAAAAATATTGGAACTTAGTAAATCCTTGATTTGTCATGCCTCATTCCTTATTTGTTGAATTTGTATTTTATATGATAATTTGGTGTTATTGTCACTTGAATTTTTATGTGAATTTCGTGTGTTGTTGATTTGATATTTTTTGAAAATAATCACATTATGAATTTTTTATTTGCAAATAATTAATTAAATAAGTTTAAATTGAGGCGTTTATATATTTATCAAAAAGTTGGATTAAAGAAGACGTTGTCTTGTGATGAGTTATTTTCCCATCCTTGTGGTTGTTTTTGAAATTTTATATACATTGTGTTGAACCGTGGACTATCTGTTGTGAAATTAATTGACTTTATTGTACCTTTGGAATGGTTGTGGCCTACAGGCAATTTGTAAATACGAGTTGATGATGTTGTGCTGTTGTGATAATATTCTATGTGAATTATTGTGTGTTTTGGGTTACTGTTATGCGGCGTATAAGGGTGACATTCCATTGTTGACATTATACGGGCATAAGGGTGGCATTTCACTGTTGTTATATGTGTTGAGATATTGTATGAGCGGAGTGATAAGGGAGGCTATTATATGAGCGATAAATGTGGCTATAAGAGCGATAAGGGTGGCTATAGATATTGTCAGGGCGGAGGGATAAGGGAGGCTATTATATGAGCGATAAATGTGGCTATAAGAGCGATAAGGGTGGCTATAGATATTGTCAGGGCGGAGGGATAAGGGAGGCTATTATAGGAGTGATAAGGGTATCTATAGGAGAGATGAGAGTGGCTATTGTAAGGGGTGATATGTGATAATGTGGGGTTATTGTGTTGGTAATTTTTACGTGATGATTTGGGGTTATTGCGTTGGAACGTTTCATGTGATATTGTGATTTTCCATGTGTTTATTTTATATCTTGTGCAACTTATCTTGTTGTTTCGGTAAACATGATAATAGTCTGATCTATGTTGAAATTGTGAGCATGTGGCTATTGCTGGGCAGATTATGTTATTGGCACGTGGACTGTCCGTGCACATATGATATGAAATATAGGCACGAGGTGCCAGAAAAATATAATGATTATGATATTGGCACGTGAACTATCCGTGCAAATGTGAAATGAAATGCAGGCACGAGGTGCCTGGGAAAATATGATAATTTTTATTATTGGCACGTGAGTTGTCCGTTTTGATAGAAATATGGGCACAAGGTGCCATGAAAATATGAAAGTGGGTTGAGACCCGTGTTATGACAATATGAAAGTGGGTTGAGACTCGTGTCTTATGATTATGAAATGAGGTGTCACAGAGTGACTTTTATTCGAAAGATATTTACTTGAAAGAATTTTATATTCGAAAGATATTTATTTGAAAGAAATATATTCGGAAGGTATTTATTCGAAAGAATTATATGTGAAAGATTTATATATAAATGACTTGTTTAATTGGTTGTGCCGGTGTTCCTTATTTGTTTGAGCAATAATTAGGGTGTTCTTGTTGCCTTGCTGTTTATATCATTAGTTAATTTTTGTTCCTATCACTGCTAGTTATTTTCTAGTATTATAATATACTGCTATTTTGCACAGGTTATTTGACTAGTGAGTGTCTTGACTATATCTCGTCACTACTCCACCGAGGTTAGTCTTGATACTTATTGGGTACCGACTGTGGTGTATTCATACTACACTTCTGCACATTATTTTGCAAAGCCAAGTATTGGAGATACCGGACTCGGGCAGAGTTAGTGTATTGATCGCAAGGATTCAAGGTAGAGCTGCTTGGTCGTCATAGTCCCTTGGAGTCTTTTCATTTTTTTGTACTGACAACTCTTATTCGAACAGTATTGTATATTCGATCTTTGAGATCATTGCATGTATTCAGTTAGAGTTCATGACTCAGTATTACCAATCTTGGGTGTTGTTACATTTGTTTCTGCTTCTGATTTAGACACTTGTATTACATTATATGTAAAAAAATAAAAATGGCTCGAAATGTAATAGTAATTGGCTTACCTAGTCTTAGAGACTAAGTGACATCACGACGCCTATGGTGGGGTTTTGGATCGTGACAACTACTTTGAGCCTACGATGAAAATCATTTTTCATGAAAACATTATTTTCCATATATACGAAATGGTTTTTAGTAGAGTATTTGTTTGATGGGTGAAAATTTTGTTTTGGAAAAGTTATTTCTAAAAATTAATGCTAGTAAATTTGGTATAAATATTGAGGACATGTAGATTTTAATGTATCATAAATTATGTTGTTGAGACGAGGGTCTATTGGAAACAATCTGTATATCCTTACAAGATAGGGGTAAGGTCTGCGTACACACTACTCTCCCCAGACCTCACAGTGTTGGATAATACTGGGTATGTTGTTGTTGTTGTATAAACTATGTTGCTCAGCTATCCGAAAATGTCACCGAGTGCGTGTCGGATCCTCCAGAGATTGTGCATTTTTGAAGAATTCGATACGGGTACGATAATATTTTAGAGAGTCCGCGCAACACAGATCATAGATTAACGTACGTTACAATATTTTGACATTAATGGATGTGCTACAGAAGTGTCACTAGTCACTCAAATTTCCCGACACTTCTTAATGTCATAAACTGAATAAACTACAAACTATTTATTTACCGACACTATATTAAATGTCGGAAAATTTAATGTGACATTTCAAAAAGAGTCGTGAAATAAATGTCAGTAAATTATTTACCGACATTAATATGAATGTCGAAAATTTCCTGATATTGAAATTTAAGACATTTGACCTAAGTGTAAAATAAATGTCGGTAAGCACTTAATACAGACATTTATGGCACTTAATACGACATTTATTAAATGTCATCGTAGCCCTTATTTCTTGTAGTGCGTGCGAACAACTTCTCCCAAATTCCTTTTCTATGTGGGTGTGAAAGAGGGAGAGAGGGCGTGTGGGTGTGTGCGTGAGTGATTGAAGATTGATATTAGCAAATCTCTATCAATATATTGAAACAAAGTTAACCACATATAAACATGTGCATCCATTTACTTCTAATTCCTTCTCTGATTGGATGGGAAAAGGCTAGACTACATATATAAGGATATTAAGGACAATTTGCCAAATTACCTATGAGCTGGCCCTTTAGTTTGGTAGGTATGTAGTTCATTGAATATGAGCGTATTAGATACACTCGCGGTCGGATTTAGGATTTAAACTTTATTGGTTCAACTTTTAGTATTTTTAGCATTGAACCGATTATATTATTAAAATTATAGGTTCAATCAAATATTTATTGTAATTTTAGTGAACTTTTACACATAAATTTATATT